GAGTCCTGTTGAGTTACCCTCAATATGTACTTCTCTGGACCAACATAACTAGGATGTAAAATGCAAGAACTACATTGTTCTGTGGTAGACATCTCGGTGGTCTCCACCAACTTGAGCAACTTTAGTTTCATACAATTACTAGCAGAGAAATTTGTGCTTTCCCTTTCAGAGTATTCGCAGAATAACTCAGGCCTTTCTTTTCCCTGATTGATAGGCAGTCCTTGACATATTTGGGACTTATAAGGATTTTATGTACTACCTCTCAGAGTGGAACCAAGAAATCGTGTCTCCTCTTTCCACTAATATCTGTGTAACTCTATCCAGCTTCTTCCCCACAAGATACTGCTTTTGCTTGGGTCGTCTCAGCTTTGCACAAGCTTCCTGGAACTGCTGTTTGCTTCTCTAACTTGTTGATCATGCCATTGTACCTCTGCCTGTTCCCTGCTTCAGCATCTTCACCATTTGCATCCATAAGTACGAGCATAAGTAAGCCTTTGGGATCCTGCAGATCCTTCTTTTCAGACTCTTTTTATGGGCTCTCTTCTTAGTGTTGCAGGGTAGTTGTAGAACACGGTCATCTTTCTCAGTTGTTTCTGTGTCCCTCCTGTGGGAAATGCTCCCAAAGAGGAAGGAAGATTTTGCTTGGTAGAAAAAGAAAAAAAAATCAGACACCAGTCACGCTTCAGAAGCTTAAAGATTTGACCCTTTTTTAAAAGACATTTGGTTTTAGATACTCAGTAATATCTTACCCTTAGTGACGGGCTTACCACTCCACTTGTGGTGAGTGCCAAAGCAGGACACTAGCAGTGAAAGAGAAAATGGAGATAAAAGGTGTACTTCCAAATACTGAGACAGAGCTAACTACTAACTTGGAAAACTGATAAAGTGGCAATGAAGGCCTGAATGGCAGATCATAGTGTCACCCTGCTGAAATGTAAGAGATACAGACAATAGTAAAACGTTGTATGTTATCATAAGAAAGAACGTTTTAACTGATATTTTAATAATTGCATGGAAGAGTTAATCCTGTTTTGTTGGAAGCTGTGTTTTGTGTGATTTCGTGTTTTGTGTGATTTCTGGTAGAACAGCAATGGAGTCAATGCCTCGTACTAAAATTGTAACTGTTTATTTCAGTGTGATTGTTTAATTCAAAACCAGAAACAGCAAAAGCTGATTGTTACTTTGAATTTAATAATAATTAACGGTGGGACAGCAAATCATTATTAAGCTCAACTGCAATTTCAGAGTTTCTCTCAACCCTGTCTCTTTGCTTTGTCCTTCTCAGTCAATCCCCTTACTTTATAAAAAGCCCAACTGCATCCTAAATCCATTTTAAACTCTTGCCTTTTATTGCCTTGGCAGTTTACAATATAGCTCTTTTGTTCACTTCATCCCTCATATTAAATTTCCTATGGACCAGATCCTCAGCCAGGCTAAGCTGGCGTAGCTCTATCAACAACCACCGCTCTGCTGATCCAGATGATCGAGCCCCCCACATTAATCATTGGTCCTTTCCCCCATCCCCCAGGCAGATTGCTTGCACAGTGTTGGCAGGATTCCTGTATCATCTGCTCATTCACTAATAACACTGTTCAGCATTTATGGGGCCAGTCTGGCTCTCTGCGTATTCAGCAGCAAAGCTGCTATTGATTGCATGATGGGGAAGCAGAATCAAGCCATATAAAGTCACATTACTTTGTATTCTGAGAGCTCTGGGCAAACTACAGTGCAGTTAATTCACTAATGGTTTATATGCATCTTGCTTGTGTCAGTGAAGAGAAAATGTTTCAACACTGCCCACGGGGGTTGGTTCGCGTGATCGTTATTCAGAGCATTTGAGAGTCACGTCACAAAAGGCAAGTTGTGGGCTTTGCTCCAGCAAGGACACACCTTAGTAACCGCAAGGCACATTGCCAAAGACCTCCCTGCTCAGGGAGGTACGATTATACAGTCTACGTTGCCTGATTACATATAGCAAATAAAATTGCCAGATAAAAACAGTATGAAGGACAAAGTATTTTCAGCAGAAAAAGTGAGTATGATTTCACTTACACCAAATTGCACTATCTACACTCTTGCTTTCGATGAAGAAGAAAGTTGCACCAGGTCCATTACATTTTTAATGAAATGCCATTCTCAAGGGTAACCAAATAATTAAGACAAACCATATATGCTTTAAAGAACAGAATCAAATGATTGACGTATTTGGCTCTCAATCAACTTTAAGACTTAACATTTTTAAGAGTATTACTGGGAATATAATGCTTTCTAAAGTCTTTTATAGTATTTTGTCAATGACAGCAGGCATTAAAACAACACAGAGTAGCTTTAAAAAATGAAAGGATGCTTGGCATTTTGCAGTCTATGTTTCGTTTGGGTATTTAAACAGTGGTGCTTTTATCTAGCAAGAAAAACATGTTCTTTACTGGATTTAAGACATATTGAACATTAAAACGTGTTAATTCAAATATTTTTGTTGTGTCACTTTCTGCAAATTTGGAAAGGTTCTGGAAAAATCTGCAAAGGTCTTCCATACAATTTTTAAGGAGTGTATTACCTTAAATTAATTAATTATTTGTAGTTATTTTAAGGAGATAATTTTAAAATTGTTTTAAAGAGTTTAAACTTATAGCGTTGCAGTTTAAAATACAGTATATAAAACTACAGTGTAACAAAATGCATAATTACAGATGTAACTGACAGCAAAAGAATGGCATATGTTAATACAGATGCAAGCCCATACGCCAATCTCAGGATCACTGATATGTAAATACCCACCATGGAGATACAACCCGAGCTTAATTTGTTAATACTGTCTAAAAAGCGAAAAGCATCAGGAAGTCAAGGAAGCAGGGTGTGGTGACTTATCTCCTCCCCAACCAAACTACTTCTTCCTGGAATAAGCATGACGAAAATGTTCGTTTTCCTTGACTCACATTTTGGAGCACAGCTCGGTTGTGTTTCCACTGTAAGAACAGTCTCACAGATTTACCATCCACACTTCTGATACAGGCTCTTTGTCCTGTGCACACTGAAGTGCAGGCCTAGCTTAATGCACAGCGTAGCCCTAGTTACTTCAGTGTGTGTTTTCTGCTTCTGGAGCATCAATAAAACAGAGCTCTTGTTTTCACAGTCATTTTTCAGTAACCATTGCTTCCTTTTGTGACAAAATTACTTTTCCCTATAGCTGCAGTTCCCTGAATACCACTATTTTTATCCAAATGTATTTGTAGCCTTGATGTGGCTTCCTAATACAAGTGCATTCAATCTGAATGCTGTACCATTCCAGTAAGAATCTTTGGGGGATTTCTGGCATGTGGGCCAGGGGACCTGTGACCTACCTCTGCATCGGCCAGAGACTTTTTCCCAGGCAGCCCATGGCTCCACCAAGCTTCCCCTCAAAAGCCCACTGTCATCCTCTTCTCCCCTGCGATAACCCCACCGTCTTTCACCATCTTGTCCCAGGCTGCGGCGCTCCACGCCATGCCGTCCCGGCTGCTGCCTGGGGCCCATTTGTTCTGTGCGGCGGCCCCTTTGCCCTATGTTGCTCACCTTCCTCTCCCCTTGCCGGGCTGAAAGAGGAAGAGGAGCTGGGTGTGAAGTAGCACTGGGTGACTCGGTGGCTTTGCACGGGGATGGCGCGCTGCTTTGGATCTGCAAGTGAGGCTGAAGGACCTGCAGGTGCAGAGCGCTGCTGGGAGGGAAGCTGAGGCAGAGAGAGGAGAAAGCGCTGCGTGACAGAGAAACAGTTAATGAACAGCTTAGAAAAAGTATTTAGAAGTCTCACTAGGCCCTCAGTAAAGAAAGAAGTGTTTAGACTCCTCCAAATTTCAGCCCCAGACATGTCCAATTTTATGTGTGTTTCTTGCAGGTGTTCTGCAAAAAGCATCCGTCAGCTGCCATGGCAGCTTCAATAACCCAAACAGCTGCATGATTAATTAGGAGCCCAGAAGTATCGAATTCCTGTACTTCACTCTGTTCCCTGGCATTTGTCAACTGAAAAGCTCTTAGCTTAGTATATTTCAGAGCAAACGTTTCACTTTGTCCCCCCAAACACATGTTACTTCTTGGATCTGGAGGGCCAGAAATACTGCACAGCAGAAGGGCTGAAATCACAGCAACCAGGAGGAGAGAGGCCAGCGCCAGGCACCCCTCTGAACCCAGCATCAGTGGGATATGCTTTCTGCCAGCCACGTGAAGCACTTTATTCCTTGCCTTACAGAATCAAGACTTAAATTTTGAAGGATGCAAGTTTGATGCCCAGCTATGACGAGGGACAGTTTTTGCTATGTGGAGTCCAAGCTTCCTGAAACTCATAAAGGATCATCTCCGGCACTAGCAAACAGAACTGCTGAGGAGCCTCTGGTTTGCTGCGTTTCTCTAAGATGCAGAATGGGGGAAAAAACTTTC